GGCTCCCTCCCGGGCCGGCGGTTCGAGACGACCGAGGGAGAGCAAAAGGGGGTGGGCGCCTGCCCAGGCGGGCTCTCTTCCACCCGGGGCAGGACGGGGGGGGGACCCTGGAGAGCGGGGCGAGGAGGGCCGACCTGAGAGGTTGCCCCCCCTTTCCGACGCCCCGCGTGGCGCCTTACCTGAGGGAGGGAAAACTAGGCCTCTCCCCTCCCCCCACCTGGACAGGCCTCGAAGGGGGAGGGTCGAGGGGCGTCTGCGTGGCCGTGAGACCCTCTTTGGAGGGAGGAAAGGGGGGGAAACCAAAGGACCCCTCCTCCTCCTGACACGCATGCGCGCCTGCCCCGCTGGCAGGGGGAGGGGGGAAAGGCTGTGAGGCGGGGGTAAGAGGGGGCTCGTGGCCGCGGGGAGGCCGCTCGAGCGGGAGGCCTTCCTTGCCGGGCGCCGAGCATGGAGGCCCAGGTTCCCTCACAGGCCCCGCGAGAGAGGCGGGAAGGCGGCGCCGCCCCTCCCCCCAACCGACGCCGACCGGCTTCTCCTCACGGATAAGGAGGCCGGGGCTCCCCGCGTCCCTTCCTCCCCTCAGACACACACACACCCGGGCCCCGCACCTGGCGCGTGCTCTCGGCCATCGGGCCGCCGCCGCCTCCTCCTCTTCTTCTTCTTCTGCCGCCGCCGAACGCGAGACGAGCGCAGGCCCAAGCCAGGCCAACCTACCGCCTCTGAGGGACTGAGAGCGCACTGCGCAGGCGCACCGGTCCTGAGGCCTCCCTTCGCTCTGCCAACCTCGCCTCCGGCGGCGGGAAGGAAAGAGCGCAGGCGCCAGGCCACAGGGGACGCATGCGCCGTAGCGGTCCCCCGCCCGCCTACCTCCCGGTGCTGGGTCGTCCGTCCTCCAGCGGGAGGGAGCTTGGCGCGCTTTACGCCGGCCCCAGAGCGCGTGCGCAGGAGGCTCCAACGAAGCCCCTGGGCTGGGCGTGGGATTATGGGAGTGGTAGTCCTACAGCTGCCCCTTGTCACCCGTTTCCAATGAAGACTAGCGTGCAAACCGGTGGTTTCCTGAGGCTGGTTAAAATAATAGTAATGAAAAGGGACTTTTCTTTTAGAGCATTTCCTGCGTCCCAGCAGGGGGGATGAAGGCACTGAAGGGGGTGGGGGTGGGGGTTGGACCTCCCCCCACCTTCATGTCTGGCAGTTCATCACATGGATATCCCCAAAACACATTATCCCCCATTTAGACAAGAAGGTCTTCACAGAGGAAGCTAAGTGTCCGGCCACAGAGAGGAAAAGGAGAAACAAACAAAAAACAATAATCTCCCACATCTTTACAGAAATAAATCCATTTATTTTTATAACTTTTTTTTCCCTTTCAAATGAATACAGTACTTTGTAAGATACCAAATTGTGAGAGCAGAAGACCTGGCACTACATCGTTGAGAATTGCACAGCAGGGGGATGAAGGTAAACACCCTTTGTAAGTTTGGGACAAAGATAAAATTCAGCAATATTTCCCACACTGAAATATGGGGGCGATAGCCAACACAAGACATTTCTTTTAGGACGTGTGTCGCTCAAACCCTGTTACTACAAATTTTGGTCCACATGCTTCATTAATTTGTTAAAAGTGTGACAATAGTGTGCAGATAATTACACCCAACAGTCAAGCCAGATGTAACACATTTGACAGCAGCAAAAGCAAGCCGGCACTGCACAAACAGGAGCAGGACTGATTTTCAAAAGGCATTTTTCCCCACAAACATCACACAGAACCCTGTTGTTTGCATGTATCATTCAAAGCTTTTTTGAAGCTTCTGTTCATCTTAAGGCTACATGAGAAGACATGTCATCACATGATTTCATGATTAAATCTATTCCTAGTGAAAAATCTCATCTTTGTTCGTACATGCGGGGCGTGGCGCCACAGAGTCAAAGGAAGAGTGCAAACAAGCAGAATCAACTTTGATTCCGCAGACAGCCAGTCCCCACATCGATACCGGATCTTGGAAGAGCACCAGGAGAGACGGAGACAGTCCACAAGCCTCCTGCTGAGCTTGGTTTCCAGCCTCGGGCGGATATACTGCAAAGACAGCGTCCGTGGTAGTCGGTCTTTCAGACCAGTCACTGCCAAGTTTTCCTTCTGCATGAAATGCAGACACTACCTGGCTCGGAAATGGGGCTTGAGGACCATCCGCTCAGCCTCGTGGGAAACAGCCTGCTGCCGGTGGCTCGGAAATCTGAAATAGCAGTGGTGTCCACACACACACACCCCTTCCTGCGTCATGTGGCTGGATCCAGGAATTCCTCCAGAGTTCTTCTGATGTGCGGGGGCTGGGAGGCAGCATGGATCAAGAGGTTCTGGCCCATCTGTGCAAAAAGGGCTTTGGACAATTTAGCAGCGGCGGTTCGGATATTTCCACCGGCTCCTGGCAAGGAGCCGCTGTTTGTCATGTTGCCTAACAGGTGCCACAAAACGGCCAAGACTTTTTGCTCCACGGCATGAGGTTTCCGGGGATACAGCTCGGTGACAAGCTCTGAATTCGAGAGGGGAAAAAAAGAAGGGAGGAAAGGCAATGACTTGTCCATAGCAAACACCCCACACAAGAAAGAGGCTGCCGCCTTTATACCCTGCCCGTGCCCGAATATGCGGATCAAAAATACGACTTCACACACCCTCTTCCTGTGCAACTTCTGGAAAAAGCCTATGAAATTCAACCACAGCACTCTCTAAAAGGTTGCAGCTTTGGGTCGTTTTAGTCCAACGGAATATTAACAGAGGATCGTTTGCATTTGATTTTTCCTGTAGTGGAAGGAAGAGGGATACCTGCATGCAGGAGCAAAACAGATCAGCCGCTCAGGCTCCCTGTCGAGAGGGCCCAACCCTGGCTGAACCTGTCTCTGTTTCTCCCTCCGCTTTGAACAGGCTTAGCTCCACCTCGTCTCCAGCGGTCCAAGATTCCCACTCTTTTCACCAGACTCTAGCTAATTTTGACCTTGTGCCTTTTAAGGGAATATAAGCCGATTCCCATGAGCTCTGAACATCTAGAGGATGTGTCCTTTGCCACTACAGGAAAAAAGAGAGGTCACTTACCTGTAACCATAGTTCGGGTGGTCCTTTGTGAATCCACACAAAAGGGTATGGCTGCGCCTGCATAGGACCTCTCAGAAGTTTCTAGAGCTTTAAAAGATGTTATTAGTAGGACGTTGCCCCGTGGCGCGCATACTCCACTTGCCCGTAATACCTCAGTTCTGAAATGTCTGCTGCTGTCAAGGCTCTGACCGAAACAAAGCTCAAGACACCAAGTGACGGACAGAGGGGAGGGAGGACGGGCGGGATGTGTGGATTCACAGAGGACGGGATGTGTGGATTCACAGAGGAGCACTTGAAGAACCATGGGTACAGGCAAGTGACCTCTCTTTCTTCTTTGTGGCCTCTGTGAATGCACACAAATGGGTGACTAGCAAGCTCACTTCCCAGAAGGAGGGCTGTCACGCCAACACCAAAGTCAGCACAGTGTGGGGAGCACCCAGATGTCTTTGGTGACAATAGACAACTTGTCAAAGAAAGGGGCTAACCGGGGATGACAGGAGAGGTCGAACGAAAAGTTCTGAATAGGACAGTCAAAGATATTGTTTATTTTTCTTTGCAGTACGACGGAAGGTTTGGCGACGTTGAACAGGAACCTGTGACTGGAAAGTAGTGATAGCAGAAGAAGCTGGAGGAGGATTGGACCTCTCCTGAGCAGGAGGTCTGTAAGAGCGATAGGCCTGATGGGAAGACTGCTGATAAGATTGTTGCATACTGAAAGATCTGAACCATAGGTAGCATTGGTATTGTGACTACTGGACAGAATAAGAGCGAGCTGTCTTCCGGATCTTATGAAAACTGTCCACCACCTCATTGGTCGTCTCATTAAACAGGGCAACACCATCAAATGGAAGGTCTTCAATGCGGGACCTAGCATAGTCTGTAATTCCCGCTGAACGTATCCAAGCATGCCTCCTGAGGGCAATAGCCGATGTCATGGCCTTAGATGCTGCATCAGCTGTGTGACGGGATGCTACATGCTGCTGTTTAGCCAACGTCAGTGCCTCCAGGTAAACATTGAGAACACTGGCCCTAGTCTCCTCAGGAGCAGCTTGGAGAACTGGTAAAACCTTGTTCCACAACTGCCTCTGATAAGCCCCCATAGCTGCCTGATAGTTTGAAACTCTCCTGACAAATGAGGCCAGAGAGTAGAGTCGATGGCCCAAGATATCCAGCTTTCGACCTTCCCTGCTGGTTGGTGTGATCTTTGGTTTCCAGCCCGTGATTGATTAAATTGTACTATGATGGAATTTGGTGCTGGATGTTTAGTGAGGAAAGTAGTGTCACCGCCATGCATTCTGCAATGATTTTCAACACGCCTAAAGATCTGAAGAGATGTAGACTGTTGATTCCATGATTCTTTTATGAAGTCCACCATAGCTGGAATGAATGCCAAACTCAATGGGGGGATTTATCTTGGTCTATGTCATCAAAGATGAGGTCCTGCTTGGGAGGAGGGTGCTGCTGTGCATCAAGGTCCAAGGATTTCGCCATGCGGAGAATTAACTGCGAGTAAGATGTAAAATTTTCAGATGGCGATGGGGGATGAAGATCAGCGACATCTGAATCAGGAGTTGGCTGATTTGAAGGAGATTCCCTGGAAGCTTCTGAAGGTGGATCCTGTTCAGAGATCGATAATATCGAAGAACCTCTAGTAACAGAAAGAGGTGGAGAAGGCGAGTGACGATGACCTCTTGATACAGAGGCTGGAGCTCAAGGAATCAGTGTGGAAGTGTCTGTTGCAGGTGAAGGAGAACTTTTAGAAGATGCACCCCGACGAGAAGACTGAGCGTGAGATGCTCTCGGGTGCGATACTGAGGATGACGGTACCGAAGGGACATGAGAACACTTCGATGGATGGGGATGCCTGTTGAGAAACGTCTTGCTGAGATAAGGGGCATTTATAAGCAGGCTTCAATGGTGGAGGTTTGAGCTGGTAATAAGCTTGATGCCGAAGAGGTGAGGGTGATGGGGAGGATCCAGAAGGAGAGGCATAGGCATATCACACTCTTTTGGATCTTGCATAATTGCCAGTGTCATAGTAGGGATCGAGGTCATCCCCATGGTATCGACGTCGAACATCCCATCAATCAACCTCTATATACAAAGGCTCCTCATAATCCGAGAATGCCCGACGTCAAGTCAGGCAAGGAAGAAATATAACCTCCCAATGCTGAGGATACTATCAGGCTGTAGAGATATGTCAATGTTTTGCCAGCCGTTTATGTGGAAGAGACTGCTGTGGTGACACCTCTGAGTTTGATAGTTGTATCACTGTTGCCCGCCCGATTGACATAGGGCTCAAATGGTCAGAGGCTGGGCTGAAGATCACATCAGCCTCAGAATGGCCATGAGTGGGAGACAGGCTTACCAAAGTCTGAGCCTGTGGTGGTGGTACAGAGTCACTCGCTTCAGAAAGGGAGTCTGGATCTGGCAACTCTCTGGATGATTCCTTGAGTATCTGCGACGGAAGGGGAAACCGGACTGGAGGGAGCTCCTGATGTTGAGTAGATGTGGAAGACTGTTTAGCCTTCTTCCGCTTAACCACCTCTTTCTTTTTCTTAGGATCCTTTATCAATGGTGATTTCGACATCGAGATCTACGTCAATGTTTGTTTTTGTTTTTTAATTTACATTTTATTATTTTTATAACATACATACCTACAACAAACAACAACAGGAATACCTACAAAGCAATAACATGTAAAACTAAAAAGACATACACAAGTGACAAAACTAACATATAAGCGGGGAGGTGTTTCTCATACCACCTTATCTATTATGTAAATTCTGACTACAGAGATAATATATTCATGTGCATCTGCACATGTTATATTCCACATTGCTATTACATATATATAATTATCTAACATCCTGTCTTCCGGTGTGTCCTAGAGTGGTCCTGAGTTGGCTAGATAGGCGGGATATAAAATAAATAAATAAATAAATCAATCAATCAATCAATCAATCAATCAATCAATCAATCAATCAATCTTATGTAAATTGTCCACCACCTCATCGGTCTTCTCATTAAACAGGCCAACACCATCAAATGGAAGGTCTTCAATGCGGGACCTAGCATAGTCTGTAATTCCCGCTGAACGTATCCAAGCATGCCTCCTGAGGGCAATAGCCGATGTCATGGCCTTAGATGCTGCATCAGCTGTGTGACGGGATGCTACATGCTGCTGTTTAGCCAACGTCGGTGCCTCCAGGTAAACATTGAGAACACTGGCCCTAGTCTCCTCAGGAGCAGCTTGGAGAACTGGTAAAACCTTGTTCCACAACTGCCTCTGATAAGCCCCCATAGCTGCCTGATAGTTTGAAACTCTCCTGACAAATGAGGCCAGAGAGTAGAGTCGATGGCCCAAGATATCCAGCTTTCGACCTTCCCTGCTGGTTGGTGTGATCTTTGGTTTCCAGCCCGTGATTGATTAAATTGTACTATGATGGAATTTGGTGCTGGATGTTTAGTGAGGAAAGTAGTGTCACCGCCATGCATTCTGCAATGATTTTCAACACGCCTAAAGATCTGAAGAGATGTAGACTGTTGATTCCATGATTCTTTTAGGAAGTCCAACATAGCTGGAATGAATGCCAAACTCAATGGGGGGGATTTATCTTGGTCTATGTCGTCAAAGATGAGGTCCTGCTTGGGAGGAGGGCGCTGCTGTACATCAAGGTCCAAGGATTTCGCCATGCGGAGAATTAACTGCGAGTAAGATGTAAAATTTTCAGATGGCGATGGGGGATGAAGATCAGCGACATCTGAATCAGGAGTTGGCAGATTTGAAGGAGATTCTCTGGAAGCTTCTGAAGGTGGATCTTGTTCAGAGATTGACGACATTGAAGAACATCTAGTAACAGAAAGAGGTGGAGAAAGCGAGTGACGATGACCTCTTGATATAGAGGCTCGAGCTCAAGGAATCAGTGCGGAAGTGTGTTTCAGGTGGATGAGAACTTTTAGAAGATGCACCCTGACGAGAAGACTGAGCGTGAGATGCTCTCGGGTGCGATACCGAGGATGACGGTACCGAAGGGACATGAGAACACTTCGATGGATGGGGATGCCTATTGAGAAACGTCTTGCTGAGATAAGGGGTGTTTAGAAGCAGGCTTTGATGGTGGAGGGTCGAGTTGGTAATAAGCTCGATGCCAAAGAGGTGAGGGTGATGGGGAGGATCCAGAAGGAGAGGCATAGGCATATCAAACTCTTTTGGATCTTGCATAATTGCCAGTGCCATAGTAGGGATCGAGGTCATCCCCATGGTATCGATGTCGAACACCCCATCCATCAACCTCTACATACAAAGGCTCCTCATAATCCAAGAACGGCTGACGTCAAGACAGGCGAGGAAGAAATATAACCTCCCAATGCTGAGGATACTATCAGGCTGTAGAGATATGTCAATGTTTTGCCAGCCGTTTATGTGGAAGAGACTGCTGTGGTGACACCTCTGAGTTTGATAGTTGTATCACTGTTGCCCGCCCGATTGACATAGGGCTCAAATGGGCCGAGGCCAGGCTATAGATGACATCAGCCTCAAAACGGCCATGATTAGGAGACAGGCTCGGTATCGATACCGAAGCCTGAGCCTGTGGTGGTGGTGGTACCGAGTCAATCCCTTCAAAAAGGGAGTCCGGATCTGGCAACTCCCGAGATGACTCCTCAAGTATGGGAGATGGAAGGGAGACTCATATCAGAGGAAGTTCTCTAAGTTGAGCAGATTTAGAAGATTGTTTAGACTACTTCTGTTTATCAACAGCTTTCTTTTTCTTAGGATCTTCCACAGACTGTGACTTCGACAGCAAGGCCTAAGTCGATGCCGAAGACTTCTTCGGTTTAGATGCTTTTGAAGATGACCTTGGAGACAGGGTAACAGAAACCGAAGAAGCAGCAGGCTCAGGACTCGAGGGTGTTAGTGATTTTTCCCACAAATATGAATGAAGCTGCTGTAAGCGGAGCTTAAGGGCGGGCTTGGTCAACTTTTTACGCTCCGGATAGTAGTGGATCTGGTGCCTCTCCTCTAAGCAAAATAAGCAGCGGTCGTGGCCGTCTGTGAAGGGGATCTCATTGGCACACAACGTACAGCGCTTAAAAGGACCTGACGAGGCCATAAAATTGGCTGGAACAGAAGAAGGAGGGAAGGGGGGAAAAGAGAAGAACTCAGGGGAAAACGTCAATGATTGCCAGTCCAGGTCAGAAGATGAAAAAATAAGAAGCCGAAAAAAATCACAATAAAGTCTGTAAGCCAAAATCAGAAACACTAATCAGTCCAAAGGTCAGAGTACTACAGACATCACAAGCGATAGTCAGTAAACCAGACCAGAATCAAACCCCGTAAGATATGAGAACAATTCAAAACAGCTCTAGATGTCGCGAAAGAGTCCGATCTCAGTGGCGGCGAAAAGGAACTGAGGTATTACCGCAGGGTGGAGCATGCGCGCCACAGGTGAACGTCCTACTAATCACATGTTTTAAAGCTCTAGAATATTCCATGAAGTCCTGTGCAGGCGCAGTCAAACCCATTTGTGTGCATTCACAGAGGCCACGAAGAAGAAGAAACATTGGTACTCTCTGTGAGACAAAGATTGCTTCAGCCAGGGTGGGTCCCTCTCTCTTAAGGGGGCCTGAAGGCACCGCCTGATTTGCTGATCAATTCTGCCTGTGGAAGCGAGGAGGAGGAGGAGGAGGAGGGACAACCCATTGCCTGAGGACGCCCTCCCTTCTGCTACATAAAATGAATGTTTCACAATGAGTACTAATGGTTCCCCACCCCACCCCAGTTTACTATTAGCCACTCTGAGCAGGAAGGACTTTCGAATGAAACGTTCTCAGAAAAGGTCAGCCTTGGATCGGAAGTCTGATGGAGGAGAAAAGCACGGAAGCGAAAGCAGACCTGCTACGATGAGCCTTACCCGCAAGCTTTTCAGTGATGTCTTGTTTGGCTTTTCCGTTCAGAAACTGGGCCTTTGTGCAAAATGGCTGAAGAAGCAAGTAATTGTCTGGATGCAAAAAGAAAAAAAAAAGAAATAGAAGTGAGGGGGGGCAGAAGACAGGAGCTGAATGGGTATCCCAGGATTATGTTTCAGGTTTTGTTTTTTTAGCCCTGCGGTCCACCAACAGCCTTCGGTTCAGAATAGCACGGACGGGGCTTTTGGAGTCTGGAATCCCACGGGTGTCGGGCAAGAAAATGCACAGCCTGGTGGCGATGCACCGCCTAGGGTGGCCCCATCAATTCACAGCGTCCAAGGCACGAGTAATTCCTCTAGGATCGTATGGTCTCTCGGTGCTACACCCCCATCACACCCTTGTGGTTTTCAACAAAAATTACAAATGTTTCCCCCTCAGGTGGCGTAACTTCAGAACCGGCCCGAGTCATGCAGAAACAAAGCTGCCTTTGGTCTGAAACATACACACACCCCCGTGCGTGCGTGTGTGTACAGAGATGTGAATGTGCCAATTAACAGAGGCAGGATCAAGGAAGGCAATGAGGAAGAAGCATCTTGCCGGCCCAGCATCCCTGCCGGACACAGGCTCTGAGCGCTCTCGTTGGCCCAGCCATTACCTAAGTGCTGACAAAGAGCCTGGATGACATTGGTAGCGGCGGCGTAGATTCCGGGGTTCTTGGAGTTCAGATTGTTGTCCACCAGGGCAGGGATCAGCATGTTGATCACGGGGGAAAGCTTCTCCTTCAGCAGCGGAATCAGCCGGGACATGGTCTCCAGGGCCACTTGGTTGACTTTGCTGTTGGAGTCATGCAAGCGGGACTTGAAGGCATCAAAGATCTGAAGAGACACACAGGGCAACAAAACGTCTTGTGAAAAGGTTCTCCTGCCCCAGATGGGAACGCTCCATTCTTTGCCTGACTGCTTGGTCCAGCAAAGTTGGCAAATCTCTCTGCCAATTATAGAGGGCAGGCATGGGTGACAAATGCCAACACAATTGCAGTCTGTTTAGTGGATCAGCCTCCTAAACCAAGAACCTCTGAGAAACGCCGTCGGCAAAGAGTAGGGCTCTCTAAAGATGGTACCAAATTAAGTCTTCTGGCTGCCAGGACTCCTTGGGTCAGTGAAATGGGAGCCGTTCTGCCACTCTATGGTTACCCTCCTCAAAACCTATCCTGGGGGTGGGGGAGCTCACCGGGGTGTGGGGGTGCAGATGAGAAGGAGCTAGCCAAAGCCCCACCATGCTATGGGTAAAATCCTGTTCTGTATCTTCATGCTTAGCTTAAGCCAGTTCGGGCTCTTGATTTGGCTTACAATAATTAAAAAGCTTCTTAGCCCCCCCCCCCCAATATGTTAGGGTCCAAAGATCCCAAGGCACAAGGTAAAGCAACCCAGTTTTGCCCACTGAGTTGTATCTGACTGGGAAATGCTCTTGATTCTCTGACCCACAGGCATTCTGACAAAGAGTGGGGAAGGAAACTGAGGAGGAGAGCCATCTTCTCAGGCTAACTGAATGGGTTCCGTTTGGCAGTGAGGCAGACCAGCAACGGCTAATTGGCAGATGGAAAGGGAGGCTGGAAAGGTAAACGGGCCCAGAGTTGTCCAGCACATCCACAGACCAGAGGGAAAGCCAGCATCGACCAGAGGCAAAAGAGGCCAGGAAGGCACGCCCAGGGCTCCACACGTCAGTCGGAGCTCTTCGGGTCTCTCATGGAGCAGGAAAAGGGGCTCCCTTGGCCCTGCTGAGGAAGGAAACGGGGAGGAGGGGAGAACCCAGGGGAGTTCTGCCTGGGACTCCTGGCTCCCCCTTTTCAAAGGGTTGTGTTCTCTTTAGAGGGACATGGTGGCGTCTCTCTTTAGATACATTCTTCTTGTATGGGTGGGAAAGTCCTCCCCGTGAATTCCAAGGCAAGGGTTGGCTTGGGGTGGGGGACGGGGGAGGAAGGACACCACTTTACTTTCAAGAGAGAAGTAGCGCAGAAGCCCAAGCCCGGCCCCTGCTCTCTCGTTGCCCCAGAGCCACGGCCTGCCAGAGCAGGCAATGAGCTGGCATAAATGGGCCCAGGAGACTGACTCTTCTCCCTTCTCTGTCCCCTGTGCGAAGCTGCAGCTTAGGCGCCTCTGCCCTGCCGGCAGTTCCTCCTCCTCCTCCTCCTCCCACCACCCCCACGCCCACCTTCCATTTTGCCACACAGCTGCTCTACCTTCACAGGTCCTGGCCTATTATGTCCCTGCCCAGTTGAGTTCAGTAGTAAATGGGCCCAGGAGACTGACTTTTCTCCCTTCTCTGTCCCCTGTGCGAAGCTGCAGCTTAGGCGCCTCTGCCCTGCCGGCAGTTCCTCCTCCTCCTCCTCCTCCCACCACCCCCACGCCCACCTTCCATTTTGCCACACAGCTGCTCTACCTTCACAGGTCCTGGCCTATTATGTCCCTGCCCAGTTGAGTTCAGTAACCATATTGAGGGTTCATCCCGTGTGCACACCGTTACCTTCACAATGTTTGCCACAACGAGGTCTTGATTGCTCTCCGTGTCTGCCAGCAGTTGTTTGATGCCGCTAATTCGGTCCCGGAAGTCTTTTGCATTCAATAAGCTCGTGACGGCCTTCACGTACTCTGCGCTTTCCACCGCGCTGCGAGGAGCCGCCTTCCTGGACATTTCCCGCCCTTCTCTGATCTCTCTGCTGAGAAGAAGGGAAGGCGGGGACGCGGTCTGCACATTTGATCTAAAGGCCATCTCAACGTCCGAAAGGCACACAGTTGTACAGAGGGAGCCACATGGCTCTGGGACACCACGAGGAACCAGGCGGTTTGTGGAACCCCAAAGAGGACAAAAGAGGCCAGCGTGGCCACATAGGCTCCAGCTTCATTCGACGCCACTCAGCAGGTCAATTCATCTCCAGTTTGGAGGCACCAAGAGCGCTACTAACTTGGAAATGTGTGCAGTCATTATAGCTGGCACTAAAACACTACAGTGGTGCCCCGCATAGCGACGTTAATCCGTTCCGGATTAATCGTCGCTATGCAGAAACATCGCTAAACGGATCGAAAAAACCCATAGGAACGCATTAAACTTGGTTTAATTCGTTCCTATGGGGCCCAAACTCACCGTACAACGAAGTTCCTCCATAGGGCCACCATTTTCGTGCCCTCGATAAGCGAGGGCAGGGCGCGAAAACACTTGTGACGGCCATTTTGGGCACCCGGCGGCCATTTTGGAACCGCCGATCAGCTGTTTAAAAAAACATCGCAATGCGAAGATCGGTAAGCGAAACGCTTACTGATCATCGCAATGCGAGTTTTTGCCTATGTAAACATCGCTATGCGATCGCTTTTGCGATTGCAAAAGCGACATCGCTATGCGGATGTGCTCATTAAGCGTGCGGTGTGCTCATTAAGCGAGGCACCACTGTATATGGAAAGAGGGGAAGGCACATTAGTAGCCTCAAGTTTGGAAGAGGAAACCTGTGCAGGTTTTATGTCAGAAGGTGTTCTCTCTTCATCGGTCCTGGAGCCTTTCTCCTCTCACAGAGCAACTTCTGGACTGATGAAAGACGTTCCCCTGCCCCCCAACATATCCCAGCACTGGGCAGGACAGCTATACCCCACTTTGCTAAAGGAAGGAGACATTTACCATAAAAAGTTGGAAACAACTTCCGCCCACAGAAGGGCAGTCTTGATGTCCTTCATATGGTCTAGTCATTTCATCCAGCAAAGAGGCATGTTTACAGAGCAAGAAGGGTATTTTTATTTGTCAAACTAGCCATTCGGTTTCCCGCATGTGTGCTTCTTTCAGTAGTGATTTAGCTAATTAAAAGACAACAGTCACAACACCAAGGAGAACATTTAAAATGACAGGGCTGTAAATGACCTGTGTGGATCTGAGGGGAGGCGTTGTATCCCATCATCTGTTGATTAGGGTTCTTTTATATCTCTTAATTTTCTCCGCTGGACATTTTGCAAGCAGAAACCCATAAGCGAACTATGCTACCCAGAGAGCCCAACCCAAGCAGAGCAGACCCCACACGGGCACTTCCTCAGTTCCTTATTTCCATGCAATTTTGCTCGGGACCTCACAAAACAGGAGACAAACAACTGGACAACTGACCACAGTACAGACAGAGTTCTGAATCCTGTCCTCTGAAGAGGCTGGCCACAGAGGCTGGTGAAAAGTTAGGTAGATAAACCTTCAGAACACGGCCAAAGAGCCCAGAAAACCCACCACCACCCTCGGATCCCGGCCGTGAAAGACTTCTGAGAAGAAGTTGTACCTGTCGCTCACGCTGAGCACTTCCCGAGACATGGAGGCCGACCGGGAGCTCTCCATGGTGCTGGTGTTCGAACGCCTCCCTTTGGCCGAAGGGGTGACAATCGGCATCTCTCCCAGCCCCTGGAATCGCAGTGCAACAGGTCAGATAAGAGGTTTGCCCCTTCCTTCTCCTCTTTAGATGTCGTGTCATTTCAGCTTTTGCCGGTGCCCTCAAGAGAGGCAACCAGGATTTACATGAGATGGATTCCCTGTCCTGACGACACTCTGAATTCTTGACTAAAGAGGACGGGCAAAGGTTTTTTTTTTTTTTTTAAATCCTCAAGAGAGGCAACCAGGATTTACAGAAGATGGATTCCCTGTCCCGACGACACTCTGAATTCTTGACTAAAGAGGACGGGCAAAGGTGTTTTTTTTTTTTTAAAAGCTTAAAAGGAAAGGTAAGCACAGAAGGTTTTGACCAGAGACAAGTTAAGAGTGGAACTGACATGAGCTGCTTAACTCTCACAGAAAACATTTCTATTCTCCGTCTTGCTGGAGAAAAAGACATTGCTGGTAGAGTTCTAAGACTCCACACCCATTCCTAACATCCAGGATGCGGCTGAACTGCCCCCCCCCCGCCCCGAACCTTCAGGCTTGGACAGGTTTCCCATTGGATAACAAACACATCCGTCCACAAGATCCATGTTTATCCAGCAGAAAATCTAGGGTTTCCGAAGACTCTCTCTGTCCATGGGAATCCCATCTCATTTGTAAGGGGGGACCTTCACCATCTGGGGCAAGGGTGAACTTCCCACTTCCTGTGAGGTGGACCATTGTGGGTCCTGTTAAGACAGAGGAACCGCAGAGTCCGGGACTCTGAAAAGCTGGTGAAGGAAGACAAGCACAGGAAGCTGCCCAAGAGCCTGTCTGTTTGGCAAAGGAAAAGGGGCTGAATGACTACCTGGTTTTGACCTCTCAGAAGTAGTCTGGCCAGTGCGGAACAGTTGCAGATCGTTACAGTTGATTAATTAGGCAAGAGGATGGAGAAGTGGGGCCAAGCTGGCCCTGGTTAGCTACAAACCTATCGACAAGACTGAGTCATTGATTGATGGTGTTCATCTGCCACCTTTCCACCCCTCCAAACTCCACAGGGGACCCAAAGCAGCTCACAACCATTAAAACTGTACATTAATCACAATCTTAACATGGTACCAAAGGCTGTATAAATATAGCTTTCCTGAGATTTACACTCACAGAATAAGGGGGGGGGGAAGGGAGAGGTTGTAAGCCTGCTTGAAGAGGAAGGTCTTTGCCTGACGAGGGAAGGGGTCAACAGGGATTTTTGGGGCAACCCATCCAAAGCCTGAGAGCAGCCACTGAGGAAGACTGCCACGGCAAAACGGTTCTGCTCTCTCTCTCTCTCCAGAACCCCCAATGGGTATTTCCAGAGAGCGAGCTCTTGCAACCAAACCGGCCCGCTGACAGAACAGCAGGTCCTCCTCGGGGCCAGAGGCCTAAAGGACGGTCAACCCTGGCCCCAAATAAGGCTCCTGGGGGGCGCGCGCTTCAAAGCCAACTCCACCTGGCGTACCTTCTGCCGGAGGCTGCCAACCGTCTCCTTCACGTAAGGCAAGTCCTTTGGCAGTACGTATTTCTCAAGCATCTTCTCGAAGTCTGCGTGGGTCATCAGCGTGTAAAGCATCTTCCGGCCGTAGTACCTGCGAGGGCCACACATCTTCTGTCTCAGTTTAACCTGACAAATTTCTATTCAGGCAAAGGCTTTAAAATCAACACCCGCAGCTGGGTTGAAGTTTGGCTTTCTCACTGCAGAGAACCATGGCGGTTCTCTCAGCCCTGCTGCGCCCTCAATGAATGGCACTCCTCCACATGCATCTAATGGGATCCATGTTATCCTACCAACACTCAAACTCTGCCTTGGCTTCCTTTTTTACATGCAGAAAATTCTCTCTCTCTCTCGCACTTAAGCCTTCTCATCAGCTTCAAGGTGCGAAGGATCCAGAACGGTGTTTTCTTCATCAGATATAGGAAGAGCCAAACACACCCTATGGGAAAATCTCTCACACTCCTTCTTTCTCCTCCTTTCAGCCACCTCCGACATGCTATTCCTTTCCAAAGAGGAAGCTCCTCCTCACCAAGGCTTCCGGAATGGCTGATGTTCTCGGCCTCTTAACAAGCAGCTGCACTTCCAAGACTCGGGACCCCCCCATCCTCCCTCCCCCCCCTCTGCAGCTCCTCACCTTGTTTCCTGGGATCCATCTTGGACAAACTTGGCGACAGCAGACAAAACCTTGTCGGTCACATCTTTAATGCCAGACAGGATGCGTCCTGGTCCCATGTGCTCCACGAGATCCGACAGGTGTCGTGCGGTGCATCTCCTCACTGTCGTGTTCAAGTGGCTGGTGAGAGTTTGGGATGGGGGTGGAGGAGAGGGACGATAAGGACCCTGAATGAGTAACTTGCTCCTAGAAGTGATACTGAGAGCATGCTCTAAAACCCTCTCATTCTCTAAAACACTGATGGTAGCAGCATGGAGATTAAGACCCGTGAAGCCAAAAGGAAGGGGACGCAGCTAAGGTGGCCTAGCCATCATCCCCATCACCTATGCAAAAGGAGCAATCTAGAGGACAAAGTCTGCATGCAGCAGAGAGAGAGAGAAGTTTTAGCAATATGAGGGAACGCACTAGACACCCTGCCTTGTGAAGAAATACCAGCAGCAGAACTTATACTAACAGAATTCCTTTTCCACAAGCAGAAGAGCTGGTTCACTGGGGTAGGTGAATGGATTTCTAACAAATGCTGTTGTGGTGGTTTAGTCGTTTAGTCATGTCTGACTCTTCATGACCCCATGGACCAGAAATACGATGGAGTAAATACGCCGCATTCTCTCATAACCTCACGCAGCAAAGACAAAGTGTGGGCAATACGATTGACTGGTTGAAACTGGGCACTACGCTCTGACCGCAATGGCTTGTTGGGCTTGACAAGCATCCATGCACAGGCCATGTGCTCTATCGGATACTTCCAGTTTCAAATACGATGGAGTAAATACGCTGCATTCTCTCATACCCTCACGCAGCAAAGACAAGCGTGGGCAATACGAGTGACTGGTTGAAACCGGGCACTACGCTCTGACCGCAATGGCTTGTTGGGCTTGACAAGCATCCATGCACAGGCCATGTGCTCTATCGGATACTTCCAGTTTTAGAACCTGCTACAACTGCCCACCAGAGCATGCATGGGCAGACGTTAATAAAAATAAGGCCAGGGAAGATGAACACTTGTTTAGTAAGTAAAAAGCACTGCAAAATTTCCCTAGGCACGTTTTCATCCAAAAAATGTGCTTATTTATTCACTGACATACATACGTATCCCGTCCTTCTACCAAAAAAGGACTTTCCAGTTGGGCCTACAAAGATGCAGAGCAGTTCTTAAGATCAGGGGTGTTCTCCTGCCTGCCCCATTTAGCCCCACATATTTGCAGGTGCCTGCATTGCAAAGGAGAAGTGATCTCCCAAAAAATGTGCTTGTTTATTCACTGACATATATACGTATCCCGTCCTTCTACCAAAAAGGGACTTTCCAGTTGGCCTACAAAGATGCAGAGCAGTTCTTAAGATCAGGGGTGTTCTCCTGCCTGCCCCATTTAGCCCCACATATTTGCAGGTGCCTGCATTGCAAAGGAGAAGTGATCTCAGGTGAACAGAAAGAACATTTTCAAGAACTGGCTTTGCTACCATTTGATTATAACCTAGATTTGTCATTTATACTTGTTCGGCTTTATGCAGACACCAGTTGCTCTGTGCTGGTTTTAACCTCTAAACCTCTAAACGAGTTCAAGCTATTTCCCTCAATGAGCCTGCCCGAGTCCTAAGATCATGAGGGAGAGGCCTTCTTCTAGATCCCATCACCTTCACAGGTGTGTCTGGAGGGGACCCGGGAGAGAACCTTCTCTGTGGCTGCTCCCGCCGGGAGAGAACCTTCTCTGGGGCTGCTCCTTTAGACTCTGGAACTCCCTCCCACTGGAGGCCAGTCTGGCCCCATCTTTGCTGGCCTTCCGCAAGCAGGCAAAGACCTTTCTCTTCAGGGAAGCTTTTCCTTCATGACTGGCTATCTGAGCGGGTTGTTTTTTCAAATGGAGTGCTGTGCTCTGCTGCTTTTAAATATGTTTTTAGCACTTATTTTATTTACCTTTTTTTACACGTGTCTAATTCTTTTTTTTAGTATTTTGTACACTGGCTGTTTTAACTTTCAAATGTTGTCTTTTTTTAAAAAAAATTGCGTAAGCTGCCTTGGGTCCTCGTAAAATAACTAACAAACGAAAGTCTCAACGTGGGATGCTCCAGGGCGTTTGTTACCTTTGGCCTCCATTGATCAGAGCACTCGACGTGGGATGCTCAAGGGTGTTACCTTTGGCCTCCATTGATCAGAGCAGAAAGCGCCCGGGCCGGCGTCACGTTGTTCACCATGGCCTTCAGCACTTTGTCCACATCCTCCCTGATGAAAGTGTTTGGCTCCCCGGCCTTGTGCAGGAGGACTTTCACGGTGTGGTCTAGCTCTTGGTCCAGGCTCTTTTTCAGGTAGTTGAACAAGTCCCCTAAACACAGCACGGCCGCCCGGGAGACCACAGACCGTAAATTCTTCACCTGCAAAGAGAAAGAGCTGGATCAGCAACAGCTCATCCGATGTCACTTTCCCTCCCTCAGACGTTTACGTGACATGAATCAAGGGTAGCGGCAGCTCCAGGTGTGTGTATGTGAGGTAACAGGGGAGCTAGGCAGGCACTCGGGACAAGACAACATTTGTGTCTCACACAACTAATTTGGTTTTCAATCTTGCCTTCTACGCCTGATAAAACTAGCACCTGCCTAGGAAAATCCATTCCATAAGCATTTACCAGGTAAGCATTTAGTTTACGGCTATGAACTAGCACGGGTCATATTCTGGAATGTGGAATCACCCCGGCCCAATGCAATTATTATATATATTTTTGCACAACCATTTCTCCAATTTTTTTGGGGGGGGGAATGAAGATTAAAACAGCAAATGCTGTTCAATGTAAATGAGGTGGGAGCGGGATAAGAGGGAACCAAGTTTAGGGTTGCCATTGATAGATTGAGCAAAATGACAATCCACTCTGTAGTGATTGTTGGGGGGGGGGAATCTGATTTTATGGTGGAGCTCAACAAGAAAGGAATAAGGAATAAAACTATGGATATCATGATGGCTTTAAACAACCTGATAGTGTGAACGCTTGAAGGAATGCACCATTCTGACACCACTCCACAGAAGGATGGTGAACAGCAGTTAAAAAAGAGCAGAAGGATGGTTGAGTGACCGAATCTCTTCCTCTGTAAGTTGGCACATCAGCCCTTCTAAGAAGGAATGTTCCCCACTTTGGAGCCTTCTATCACTCACACACACACAAACAGAATGAGTAACTAGGTACTTGATGGAGAAACACACATAAAGAGAATGAGTAACTAGGTACTTGATGGAGAAAGAGAGAATCATACAATGCTATCCTCTCCTGTAATATGCAAAAAATATAACTGAAATCATCACGACCAACTGGTAGGTAAATGTGCATAGGTTTTGTAGGCCAGAAAACCCATGACAAAAACTTGTCCCCTCACCTACACCCATTCCGGGCAGTCCCACTGATTTATTACCACCTCAAAAATAGCCAAGCCAAAACACCAAATGCATTAACAAACGGCACAGTCCAACAACATGGTACAGAAGGGCAGCTAACATGCCGAAAACAGACAAGCGGGCAGCAAGAATAATTTCGGTACCAACTGCTAAAATTGTTGTGCTTAAGATGGGAAGGAAGGTCTGCATATAAAAAACTTAACCTCCTGAACAACAGCCAGGCTGGTTTCGTGCAGCTTTGCAGTCAACACATCGGGGTGGTAAGCAGAAAGGCACCTAATTGAGTTCAAGCCTTCAATTTTCTTCTCCCTGTGTTTGAAACAAAAGAAAACAAAATGCCAGTCTTTCGAAACATAACATGACAAGGAAACGGCTCGGTTATACAAGAAAACACTGCAAGGTAAAACATCCTTATGCTTTTCAAAATGACTTTTCTGTGATGCATCCCCTTGCAAGTGGCCGTTAAAAGCAAACAGAAACTGCCTGGTGCCTTGTCAGAAGACGGCAACTACTGCCAGAAAAGGTCCCTTTTACAACTGTTAATTCATAAGCTTTGCATCTCATGCTTCAATCGGAATTTTCTTACGATAGTTAACATTTAGACACACGTCTAGTGCCCTTCCACGTCTGGGTGACCCTTACCAGTCATCGTCGGCCAGATACTGTAAGGCTTCCGAAAGAGCAACGTCGGGTTTGGGGAAGGGCCTCAGTTCCGATGGTTCCATGATCTCTGGGCTGTGCATGACAGACAACATCCGATCTTTGAACTGCATTTGTGGGCCCAGAGACATTTCACCTGCGAGATCGTACATTTGGTTACACAAAAAGCAACCAAGGACTCTTGTCTGACACAAGGAAGCTGACAAAGGTCACCTGAGAAGCATGTGGTTTTAGGTCCTCAACAGCATTCATAAAAACCTCCGAAGAAGAGCCCTGTGCTGGATCAGGCCGAGGGCCCCTCTAGTCCAGCTTCCTGGATCTCACAGGGGCCCCACCAGATGCCTCTAGGAGCCCAGGAGACACCACGAGATTCTTGTCTCATAACCGGAGGAACGCCGAACTGACAATCCCCACTTTGCCTCTATAATTGTGTATCTGAGATGCAGAGCTTTACCTGACTCTAGCAGGAGTGAAGGTTGCGACCTTTTAACGCTGGATGTTCTTTTCAACTGAGGACTGAAAGCCGCATGTCCTAAAAGGGGAGAAGGGGGCAGTTCGTTATCGGCATGCTTGCAATACTGAGAAAGCCTCCTCCCAGATCCCACCACCACCAAATATATCACTCGGTACCTCTGAGAAAAAAGTCTTCCACCAACTCAGAGAGGCTCAAATGAAATTTTTGATAGCCTAGATGCCTATGGGTGTATCGCTCATAACTACCACTTCCTACTGTCTCAGAATCTAATTGACAGTCAATCAATTACTTTAGAAGGTCAACCTAGAAGCAGAGTGTTTGATTGCTGTTGTCTTAAAAAAAAAAAACACCTTCACACAGCACCTGCCCCATGTAGTAAAAATGTTGTTATCTACGTGGGTTTCCACAAAAAGAATGCATGCTTGAACCAAGGAACAGAGTTTAACGTGTGTTCCAGCATGACTGAATATCACAAGGAAGCCTTCCGCTTGAGGCTTGTTCCTGCATGGCGGGGTGTGTGTGTGTGGACTCAATGGCCCCTGGGGTCTCTTCCAACTCTGTGATTCTATGATGCTTCATGACACCCCTTTCTGCCCACAGCAGCCACCGCTAAAGAAGAAACATTTAGACTTAGGAAGAGAAAGGTGTGGATGTATTCTATCATCCGCTTGAGCCCCTCTGTACATGGAAACAGATGGAGCCCCAGCCAATTTCCAGGACCCTGCTTTGAAATGCAGGCCCAGCCTCTCAAACACCCCTGAGGACGGAGGGGAAGTTCCCGCAACGATTTGCCAGCAAGCTTACTGCACCAATGATTCATCAACTACTGATAGGTAGCCAAGGAAACTGAAGAAGCTATGGAAGGAAACTGGGGAGGGGGGAATCAGCCAGAACCCGTGAGTGCAAGGAAGATTCCTTGGGAACCCAGACACTTGGGACTGCACGTTAAAAGACCATTTGAAGATGTGGCTTACGGCTTTCTGCGGCCATCTTCTCTGACTCGTTGGGCTTGAACAGTTCCCAAGGGTTTGATTCCTTCCTTTCCCCTTCCCGATGCTCTTTTTCTTCCTTCTTCTTCTGTCTCATCTTTTCACGAGCAGATCTGGATAAGGAAACTTTCACCTGAAGGAAACAATAAATGGAGTCTTGCGGGATCGAGAGAGAGAGAGAGAGAGAGAGAGGGTGCTCCACCAAAAAGAAGCACTGCCCCCCTCCCAACACATCATTTCCCCATCTTGGCAGCTGAGAAATCCTTTGTTGGTATTCAGAATGGATTTGCACAGCAGAATGAGAGCAGCAACCAAACCAGGTGGCTGTTTGATCATCAGCTGCACGGTGCACTTCACTTTATCTCTCCAGAGTGAAATAAACTCCAGTGCATGTTGCCAAATACCGGAGCTACATTTTGAGTGATGCAGAGATAGGAAAGTTAACGTATTTGAAACAACCACCTTTTATTTTGGCTTGGCTTGGGTTGGTTTAGTTAAGTACCGCCCCATTAGTATCAAAGCACTATTCTGGATGGCTTACAAGCAATTTTAAAAAAATTACAATAAAGCAGTAAACCCTAAATTACCACACCGCTAACAAAAGCATATTCTAGAGACTTAAAAACCAATGGCGCAAAACAATTCTCAGAGTGAGACACAGGAGGAGACCATTCGTAGCATCTCCCCCTCCCAGCGTGGTCCTCTCAGGGATGACGGGCTGGTGGTGGTGGACAGAGCACAGAAAAGGAACGGCACACGGCGGCCGTACAGCCCACTAAGTTGACGAGTCAGCAAACAGAGACTCACCAAACCTAATGCTGACGAATGGAAGCTTCTTCAGCTTTCGAAAGAGCCCCTTATCATCAAGGGCCACACAGACATCTGTGGCTGCACCATCATCCTGACCAGGAGCTTTTAGGACAGCAGCTCTCAAGCCCTTTGTGATCTGTCTTCCTGTGTATTTTTTGGCCACAGGCAACATCGGTCCAGGAGACCAAAAAAAATGACAACCAGCCCACTGCTGATCTGTACGTTGACCCACTTTCCACCGCCTGCCTCTAGCACCCAGGTCAGATCTAGGCACACCTGACCCACGTTCATCTTGTCTATCACAAGGGACGCCTTTCTCCTTTCTTACATCTTTTTCATTTTCTACATCAAGGTGAGGCGCACAGTTCTGCTGCTGGACAGCTCTCCCGTAAATCCCCGAAAGGGGCTCCATGCTCTGCTTGAAGGAAGGTGCGTCACCATTCTCCATGTTGAAGATGATGGACTGGCCATACGTCAGGGGTGCAGAAGGCGGGCTTCCAAACACACCTGAAATAACAGGGCTCCTTCAGTCACTGTGAAAGATCACTTCTTGTGCGCAAAGAATCTGACAGAACACATTTAAAAAAAACACACACAGTACGATTCTTCATGCAATTAAAAAGACAGCAAGGAGAGTGTCTTGGTCATCCAAGCATCTTTTCAAACATGATTTGCCTCTTAGACGGTCAGTCAAGGGTTCTAGTGTGTACTCATAGGGTTCAATGGTGGCAGAAAACAGGATCAACTGATCTGAATATTTCCTGTCGAATGTCCGTTTTTCTATAGTCTCTGATCCAGCTAGACATAGATCTAGAAATCTAACACAAAGGTCCAGCTGATCTCACGCTACTAAAAGGACGTATGGAACAGGGAGGTAAGAGAAAAGATCATGCAGTGGAAGAGAGAGAGTAAGCCGCCTAGAGTGGTCTTAACCGACCAGATAGGCAGGATATTAAATAAATAAATAAATAATAAGAGAAAAGAGAAGAGACACAAAAGACACAAAATCACCTTTTCCAACAATGACGACAGAGTCTTCTGTCAAGGCACTCGGTGAAAGGTAGTCTGGGCTAGTCAGCTGCTGTAAACTTGAGGTGGGCCCTGTAAATCCTTCAAAACAAAAAGGGTCACAGCACGAACACTGTTGATATCCCCATTTTGCATTTGCTACATTAAAACAATTCTTTCTTTGTTCAGTAAAGCAGCATCTAGATCCAGAATTTCTCGCATACAAGGCCCAAATTCACCATCGCAAGGTGCTGCGTAAGTAGACCATTGGTCTAGGTGGGCGAGGTATAAATCTAATGAATGAATTAATGAATTACATTAAAACAATTCTTTGTTCAGCAAAGCAGCATCTAGATCCAGAATTTCTTGCATACAGGGTCCAAATTCACCATTGCAAGGTGCTGCATAAGTAGACCATTGGTCTAGGTGGGAGGGGTATAACTCTAATGAATGAATGAATGAATGACTGAATAAAATAAGAAAGGCGCTCCCTCCCTGAGTGCCCTGTGGAACGTCTCTCCACAACAATAGAGACCCCTGTGCTTTTGTTGCGGGCGCTGGGTAGACGCAGAACTCTGAATCACAGGCAAGCCACGTGGTGCCTTCCCCTCCTGTGCCTTCCCCAACCCTTCTGGCATTGAAAGTGAGACCGACAGTAGTCCTGCCTCTGGCAACGGCAGCCCGGGTCAGGCAGCAGGCAAGAGATGAAACCCAGACACACAACAGAGACCGGGTTCGATGAAAGGAAAAGGAAAAGAAAAAACAACAGTGGAAAGGGAGACCAAGAGGGCCCAACTCTGCCATGTGCTCAGAACCTTCCCCTGACTCACCTTTCAAGGGCTTGCAGTGCCTCCGGTGCTCTCTGGCCGGCCCTTTGGAAAGGGCAGGCGATACAACCTTCCGCCTGTCCTCTTCGTAGTCTCCCGAGCCGTTGCCGCAGTTCAGGCGCTGGCCACTAACGCTGACGCCGGAGGCTGCTTTCTCGTGGAACGCTACTCCTGGAGGACAAAAAAAAACCCAGCCCAGTTAATCCAGCAGGACCAGCATTGGGGACCTTAGGCCGCCACCTCCTAAGCGGGCCGCTGCAGTGTTCCCTGCTTGCCCAAACAGCCCATGGCACTCAAAAAGACCTTCTGCTGCCCTCCAGCAAGAAAAGGCCTTCTGACACCAAAGTTCCTTGGTTGACGTTCCTGCGCCACGGGCCCCGCAAATTGGGCCCAGCAGGCCACTTGCCCACGACCACTCTGTCCGAGGGCTAGGTCACAGAGAGGCGTACAGAGGGAAGTGTGCAGACGGGGGCCAACGGAGGGCCCAGAGTGGGCATGGCCTTCCCTCAATCCAGCTGTTCTTTCTGGGCCCATTCCAATACCTGTGCCGAGGCTCTGTTCGGAAAGGACGGGACCTCGGCACTGCACCGGTGAGAGTTCCGTGGGCATCAGGTTGCCTCCAAGCAGAGGAAAGACATCCGGCCTTCTGCAACAGAAAGAGGCTTTGCGTGAGACCTCGGCAGGGGGCTTCGGGGCTATTTTGGAGAAGGTTCTTGAATGAAACCTTGGGGAAAAAAGCCTGAGTTACTTCAAGAAGCCCAAGTGGAAGTTTTTAGAGCAAGCAAAACAAGCAAAACCTTGCCATCCTTGGCATCTGGCAGGCCAACTTTTTAAAGAGATGCTCCCAGTTACAAGACACCAAGGAGGCATCAGGACAAAGCTCCTATCGGGAGGCGCAACAGGGCCAGATCCCTGAGGCGTGCTTTAGAAAGGCATCCACAGAGCTTCCTCGGGCTGGACGGCCAGCTCTTTTTATCACAGAGGCGCTCAAACGTATTTGATTGCCCCTCCCTCCTATCCTAAAGGCTCTAAGGATTCCATCTGAACACGTGGTCGGACCAGGGACACCCAGGGTAGCCGAGAGAGCTCTGTGTGGACCAGCAGACTGAACGGGCACAGGGATGGCTTCCTAGCCTCCACGGGATCAATACCGCTGGTCTGGCTCGGGCAGGAAGAGCTGCCATCCTTCCGCTGGGAGCCACCTCTATGCCAGCGGCTGTCTCTGGAGCATTACCTGCCTGCACATTTTCCTCTCCGATTCCCAAAGTCAGGGGTGGGCAACTGTGGTGGTCCCTGACAGGTTGCTGGAGTGCTTCTCCCTTTGTCTCCCATCCCTGGCTCTGCTGGGGAGGACGCTGAAGGGCTCGGGAGACCCGGGAGAATCATAGGTTGCTCACTCCC